GAAAAATCTTCACATGGTTTAAAAAATATGTTCCTATATTTTATAGATATTTAGAATTATTGACAAAGGTTCATGGATTTTAATAAACATTCATGATTTAAAAAATGGTTGGGAATTCCAAAAAAATTCACAGATTAAAAAGTATTCATAAATTTGTAAAAATGATTAGGAATCTAAAGAAAATATTTACAAATTAAAAAGAGGAGTACATATTAGAAAAATGTTCACAATTTCTTTAGTAATACTCATAAATTTGAAAAAATAATATCCAAGGTGTTCGCGACTTTTAAAAGTATTCACAAACTTTTAAGCACGTTCATAATCTTTGAAAATGTTCACTTGTGGGAAAACCCGAGGAAACGGAAAAAATGTTGTAACCCAATCTGAAACAGAAGAAAACAAGAGAAGAAAATAAAAGAGAAAACAACAGTTGCAGTTCGTCATCCTGTACTATAAATAAACGAAAGCAACGAATTGTTTTCCCCAATTGCATGTACCCCTTTGGTTGAGCGTCATATTTGGGATGGCTTGGCTTGAGATGCATCGAGGTCGAGGGCACCGCTTGTTGCCAGGCTGTAATTTGGTGAACCGTTTGTGGAGGATTGCCGGGTCCAATTTCAGGTATGAGCGGCATGTGTGTGTGTGACTCTTTTATGTCCCACACGTCGGTGCCAATACACAAATGATACATGTCGCTTGTTTTGGTTTAGAGGAATTGTGCAGGAATTTTGTACGATAGGATTTTTATAGACATAATTCCTTTACTCTTCTTTGGTTTGTAGGAATAGAATCATATTCCTATGAAAGAATTATTCCTATCCTTCATATTTCATAGAAAAAATATTAACCTGGAGTCAATGAAAAAAAATCCTATGATACGAACCAAACGATATCTTTTTTTTCTATTCCTGTTCATAAGATTTAAGATGTATGACATCTTTCTACATGTTTTCTATTCTTATGGCATTCCTACCCTATGAACCAAAGAAGACCTAATAGTGTGTCGCCTAAAACTACACTGCATGGGCCAACCCAGTAGGGGTAGGTCGAGGCGGCTTTTTTTGCCAATGGATTACTTGTAGTTTTACAGATTTTCTTTCCCGTGCTTTTTTATAGGGATGGCAATGGGTGGGGTATAGGTGAGTACAACCTCCTTCTACCCAAACCCACACTCACGGAAAATTTCTATACCCATCCACTTCAATACCCATGGGCGTAAATTGGCACACATGCCCATACCCATCGGATATCCTATACCCAATGGGTAAATATATAACATTTAATATTTTAAAAGATAGATAAATGAGTTGGGAATTCAAGTGATGATGTGCGAGCAGTATAGCACTAACGCAGGCTCCTCCGGTGGGTGGCCTCTGGGAGGCATTCGGGGAGTATCATCAACGGTTGGTGGAAGCCCGGCACAGTGGGAGGCAGTTGTGGGAATGGGGAATTGCTGGATCGAGAGTTGGACAAGTGTCCGGTAGCGAAGAGTCGAGATTTTATCTTTTCGAGGAGTCACATAAAAGGTAGGAGGAGTGGCGGCCAGGTGATTTACGAGCCTATGAGCTATGGTCGGTTTAAGAAATACGAGATTTAGGGTGGGCCATAGGGGTTGGATGTTGACCCCGCATGTCATAGGAGTTATTTTCATTAATTAAGTTTTTCTAGGTATCCATTGATTTACCCATGGCCAAAATTTTATACCCACATCCTATCCATATATTTTGCGGGTATGGATACCAATTACCCGTGGTACGAAATCTCTCCAAGTCTTCCCCATGCCCATTGTTTTCAAGTGGGTACCCGTGGGTACACATACCCATGGTAAAACTACCATCCCTACTTTATTGGGATTTTCAAATTTCTTGTTGCTTCTCTGGCTTTTAGTTTTATTTGGCATATTTTCTCTTTTTTGTTTTTGCTATTTCCAAGATATTTTGCTTTTTCTTTATATTTTCTACATTATTTTTTCTTTTTACTGATAGTTTCTATGTTTTTTTAATTACACTTTTTTTAAAAAAAGTGTGAATATTTCAAATTTCATGAACACTTTTCAAAAGTTAATGAACAATATTTTTCAAATACTTGAATATTTTATGATAATGCATGAATACCTTTTTAATGTATGAACATTTCTCACTAATATGTAAACATGTTTAACATTTTTTTAAAGCATGATTTTTTAAAATAACTTTTGAAACTAAACTATATAAATATTTAATATCTTTTGAAGTAAATATGAAAAGAAGTAATAACAAAAGTAAAGAGGAAAAAGATAAAAGGAAATAAAAGCCAGCCAACTTTTGCTAATGGGCCGACCTAATATATAAGTTAGCGGGCGGTGTGGTGTTATTGGACGTTAGGCTAGCCATAGTGGGAGTAACTTATGTAGTAACATAACGCACCCAAGACATATATGCTTATGTGGCATTGAGTTAATGAGAAGAGAGGTGTTTGTAGTACCATAATATGTTACAGTAACATAACGCACCCCAATGCAAAATGAGTCTACAACATAACAAATGAAGGCTTGCATGACACTACACTTATGTTACTACCCACTATGATGGTACTCCCTCCTTTCCGATTTATAGGGCTTATCTTAAAATTTTAGTTTTTCCATTTTATAAGGCTCAATTTGGTTGTTTTCCATCATATGTTCAGATTCCAAGGTGCATTAAATCATTGCATGCAAGTATTAAGAGAAAATTGACCAATGCATGTACTTTATGCATGCATGCATTGCAATTAATGCATTGATAAACATAATTTTTTGAGGAAAACAAGAGCATTAATTAGATGCTTTTGTAAAATTACAAAAAGTATTCCACCACTCACCATCTACCTTGATTGGTGAGATTTTCGAACTGAGCCCTATAAACCGGAAAGGAGGGAGTAGTAACATAGACTAGGAACATCCATATGTTAGACTAGCCACAATGGAGAGTAACATACACTAGTAACATACACATATCCCTAGACTATGTTACTACCTCAATAGTGGGTAGTAACATAAGTGTGGTAATATGCAAAGCTTCATTTATTAGGTTATAGACTCATATTGCATTGGGACATGTGATGTTACAGTAACTAGCTAAGTTACTAGTACTACATCTTTCCTCATTAACTCATTGCCACATAAGCAAATTTGCTGAGTTGGACTCGATGTTACTATCGAAGTTACTCCCACTGTGGCTAGTCTTACTAGTCTAAGTTACTGCCCACTATGATTAGCCTTATAAGCATCCTTGGGGACTTGGTCAATTGCCTTTTGTGGTTGGTGAGTGAGTGAACTTATTCTAAAACACATGTCATATGTAAGTAACACCCCGCCTTCTCAAAGTCCAAATCTCACGTCCAATAAAATTTAAGGACGACAGCATCACACAAAAAATATTCTTTATACTCCTAGGTTTCCTTCCTCGTCACCGCGCAGGGTGGCAAGGGAGAGGGGGAGTGTTTGTCTGTACTCCTGCTAATGCACCCCATGCAATGAAAGCTAAGGACGACAGCATTCCCCCAAAAAGAAAAAGAACCACCGACCCAACATAACTTAACCTTGAGACCTAGCATCCAGGCATGACTGAAAATAATGGAAGTAATTTAGACTAGTAACATGCATTACGACCTTCAGAGTGGTTAGTATATATGTATGGTGTCATGTAACATCTTATTTATTAGGTTGTAGACTCATTTTATCTTGGTATGTGGATGTTACGGTAACATATTATGTTACCACAAGCTTTTCTTTTTATTATTATTAATTACTTGTCACAACATCTATTTTGCCTAAATATATGTGATATTACCACTATGGCCAGTCGAGGAAGGGGCAAGACAGTGGAAACACAAACCTCTAGTTTGAGCAGCTAGTTTGATCATTCATGCAAGTCTCAGTCTGACTGATCCATCCAACCACCAAATATACCACCCTCGGCAGGCTGCAATTACTCGAGCTATATGTCGATGCAAAACGTTTTCGGTATTTATATACCGGAATAGACCCGCTGGAAGAAGAATGAGCGCATGTGGCGCAGCAGCTGGCCATCGGAAGCGCTGGGAAGAACCTGTCACGCAGCTCCCCCAACCAACACGAGCTTCTTCGCAGCACATGTGGATGTGGTTTTAAATTAAAAAGGAGAAACCTAGGTCAACCAAATGAATTGATGAGCGCGATCGAACGAACAAAGAGGCAACAGTGCGTCCGCGTGTGACGTACCCGTCGTCGTCCCCGGCCGGCCGCGCCGTTGGATCGCTCGAGGCTGCCGCTGCCGCTGCCGCTACGACCCTGCCCGTGTACTAGTAGTACTGTACGCGTCGTCTACCTGTGCGTGCCTCCTTAATTCCAAGTGGTTGAGCGCCCCGGGTAACCACCGCCATTAATAGGCCACCCTCCCTACCTGTCTACTATCCACCCCTCTCTATCTCCCTTTCTTTCTCCGGTTCGCTTACTGCGCCCCCGTGCGGGTCCCACCCCTGACGGACGCCTCTTCTCCTCCGGGTCAATCCCATGAGCAACGCGAGGCGTCGTAACAGTAACACTTTTGGATTAGAATTAGACGTGGTCGATACGTACAGCTCCGTCGTCACTTGGAGTTGTACTAGTACTACCATACCAAGTTTGGGTACAGGTAATTTTCATCAGAAGAAAAAAGAGTTTGGATGCAGGTACTGTAGTCGTGGCACGTACGTAGTAGAAGTATTATGCTTGGTTTCCGTTTCGGAGTATTATGCTTGGTACGTACACCTATATGGAATACGGGTCGGCCGAAGCTTCCGTGTCCGCCTTGCGGTTTGGGCGCCTATAAGTTTGACTGCCCCGGCAGCTGCAAAGGCCACAAGTTTGTTCGTGGAGGCCACCGTCGCGGTCTAGTTGGTCGCGCACCCTATATATACCGAGCCGCCCGCCGAGGCCAACTCACGCTTCCGGTTCCGGCGCCTCGGTCCAACTCACACCAAAAGCGACACGCGAGTACGCACGTACGTACGTCTCGAGATCCATGGAGTCTGCGCCGGCGGCGGCCTTCATGGAGCGGGAGCGCCTCACGGCGGAGGTGACCTTCTCCGGGGACGCGCAGGCGGCGTCGTCCGAGGGCGCCGAGCGGCTGCCCAGCATCATCGTCAAGATCCGGCGTCGCCTCCCGGACTTCGCCCGCTCCGTCAACCTCAAGTACGTCAGGCTCGGGATCCGGCACGGCGGCAGCCTCACGTCCTACCTGCCGATGCTGTGCGTGCCGGTGCTCGCGGCGGCCGCCTACTCCTTCGTCCGCCTCGACGTCATCTACCTCTCCATCGACCTGCTCAGCTGCGTCGCCTGGCTCGGCACCGCCATGCTGCTCCTCACCGTCTACTACTTCAAGCGACCTCGCCCGGTGTACCTCGTCGAGTTCGCGTGCTACAAGCCGGAGGACCAGAACAAGATCACCAAGGAGGCCTTCCTCGACATGACCGAGAGCACCGGGTGCTTCAATGACGAGACGCTCGCGTTCCAGACCAAGATCACCACCCGCTCCGCTCTCGGCGACGAGACGTACCTGCCCTCGGGCGTTCTGGCGCGCCCGCCAAGGCTCAACATGGCCGAGGCGCGGCTGGAGGCCGAGGCGGTCATGTTCGGCTGCCTGGACGCTCTGTTCGCGTCCACCGGGATCGACCCGCGCCGCGACGTGCGGATCCTCATCGTCAACTGCAGCCTGTTCAACCCGACGCCGTCCCTGGCGTCCATGATCATCCACCATTACAAGATGCGCGAGGACGTCAAGTCGTTCAACCTGGGCGGCATGGGGTGCAGCGCCGGCCTCATCGCCATCGACCTCGCCAAGGACATGCTCCAGGCCAACCCCAACTCGTACGCGGTTGTCCTCAGCACCGAGAACATCACCCTCAACTGGTACTTCGGGAACGACCGCTCCATGCTGCTCTCCAACTGCATCTTCCGCATGGGCGGCGCCGCGGCTCTGCTCTCGAACCGGCGCGCGGACGCCGGGCGCGCCAAGTACCGCCTCCTCCACACGGTCCGGACGCACAAGGGCGCCACGGACGAGTGCTTCAAGTGCGTGTACCAGCGCGAGGACGACGTGGGCAAGGTGGGCGTGTCGCTGGCGCGGGAGCTCATGAGTGTGGCCGGCGACGCGCTCAAGACCAACATCACCACGCTGGGGCCCCTGGTGCTGCCCCTCAGCGAGCAGCTCAAATTCCTCAAGTCGCTGATGATGCGCCGGGTGTTCCGCGCCAAGGGCGTGCGGCCCTACATCCCCAACTTCCGGCGCGCGTTCGAGCACTTCTGCGTGCACGCCGGCGGGCGCGCGGTGCTGGAGGAGGTGCAGCGCAGCCTGAGCCTGGAGGACAAGGACATGGAGCCGAGCAGGTGCGCCCTGCACCGGTTCGGCAACACCAGCAGCAGCTCGCTGTGGTACGAGCTGGCCTACGCCGAGGCCAAGGGCCGGGTGAAGCGCGGCAACCGCGTATGGCAGATCGGGTTCGGGTCGGGGTTCAAGTGCAACAGCGCGGTGTGGCGCGCGCTCCGCGACGTGCCGGCCGTGTCGCCCCCGCCCGCCGGCGCCGCGGCGCCGGGGCCGGAGGAGAAGGCCTGCAACCCGTGGGTGGACTGCGTCGCCAAGTACCCGCCCAAGGCGTACGTCTGATGATCATTACGCCGCTGCATGACTCTACACCAAGATTACATGATTCTTTTCTCCTCACGGTGAACAACACAAGCGCGGTGGGGAGATTATATACTACTCCTATACTTTTTCTGTATTTCGTTTCCCGTAGGTGACTGTACTTCAGGTTCCATGGGCGAGCAGTGCCATTGTTTTCAGCTTTTGTACTTCAAGTGTGAATTATAAACGACAATATATACGACGAGGTTTCATTCAAGTTACTACTATGATAGTACTATGTACTTGCACACATCATTGACGTACAAATGAAGCATTGGTGCATCGCGCCGTTTTGAATTGCTACTCAATCCATACGTTACTGAGTATGAATGTATGATGGCAAGTAGTACCATGGAGTATGATCTTGATTAGATTGCTGCTCCGGCACTCGGGTCCCGTTTCGTTCGTAACGTATGGATTGTGTTCGCGGTCTCGTCACGTGAGCCTTCCAAAACGTTGTGTCACGGTTCTCTTCTGGTCGGCTAACGGCCTTGGTTTCCTTGGCCCTCGGTTCAGTTTCTTCCTTGATCTGAACGAGCTGACCACGCCTGCCGCGTGTGCCTAACCGAGGAAGAGTCTCGACATGCTCAATTGCTCATTGGTGTAACGTGCAAGGTATATGATGATGAGCGATACTTGTGCCCATTTGAGCACGACTTCTCTTTGGCCCCCGTGGAAAATATCCAGTTCGGGGCATGCTTGATTAATGTTGGTATGGTGGTTCGGTGTTGGATTGACTTACCAATCCATGCAGTTGTAGGTCGTTCATCAGCAAATTAATTGCAGCGTCAATCGGTCTATTTTGCATGGCCATCACTCAACGCTCCTCTGACTTTCTGCATTCATAGTTGTATGCAACGGTCGAAAACTGCGAAAGCGTACGGTGTACTCCTATTCTGATTTACGGGAATTCTATTTAGAAAATTTTTGTCAAAAATTTGCACCCTATTCATCAAATATCAAGACAGTGCAAAGAACAGCATAAGTAAAATAAATTACATCAATATATGTAGCACCACTAGCAACGGGTACAAGCACTAGAGCAAGCCAAAGACGCGCCACTGTCATCGCTCCTTTCTTATCAAAGTCGGACAAACATTGTTGTAGTAGACAGTCGAAAAGTCATCATGCTAAGACCCCAAAGGATCAACGCACCAGAATAGCAGCCCTCGCGCCATTGCTGATGAACAGAAGCGTAGATCAGAGGGATCCAACATGTAGACACATGTATGTAGACGAACGAAGACCGGATGAAAATAGATCCACTGGAGACAAACACCGATCGAAACCAACAAGATCCGCCGAAGACACACCTCCACGCGCCCTCCGATGACGCTAGACGCACCACTAGGACAGGAAGAGCTTTATTCCATTTTCAAAGGGCTTCCACGGCCTCACCTTCCTGAAGAGGACACAAACTCTAGACAGGTTTTTAAAAACACCTAAAAAGGGAGCAGGAGCCCTCCCGCCGGCGAGTGCTGGGATCCACCACACTCCGTGGACCGAAGGCCACAAAAGACGAGGCAGATCAACGGCAACACCGACAGGAGGCGGGAAACCCTAGTTGGAGCCGCTTGTGGGTAGTAGATGTTTTGGTCGTTTCGTACGCCTACTCTAACTAGTACTATTTTTGCCCCTTCACAACTTATTCATATCCAACATAACTTATCTCATCCAACCGCTGGTTCTTACGGGCACGTGCACGAAGACTTTTCGACTATCATCGACAAGATCAGGCCGACTCCAGTATGAGAGCAGAGACAACAACGCATCATCGACTCTTTCTGGTGGTGACAATGGTTGTTCAATGGTTCACGGACCTTGATGTAATTTTTATTATGTCTGAGATGTTTTGTATTTTTGATCAATTTTTATTATAGGTTTGATCCTTTTTGCGAAAAAAAACATAAGTTATCTCAGGTATTTGGAAAAAGATTCAGAAGTACTAAATTGGACACGGTCCCAACATCGTTGCCCTCTTTTTTTCAGAAAAAGTTTGGTTTCCATTGCACACACCATTGACGTACAAATGAAGCATTGGTGCATCGCGCCGTTTTGAATGCGACGATCCAAACAGAGCCATTGTAGCTTGGTACACTTGGTTGGGTGGTGTCTTTTCCATTTAAACTAAGCAGCTAAGCAAATATAGTACTCCTTGACAGCGTAGCTCTACCAATCGGCCATAAAACCCCTGCTACATAATCGCATTTAAGAGGATGGCTAAAGGAAAAATGACATTGAAGACAAGCTAATCTTCAAAGAGATACCGTGACAAGAAAGGCCAGAAAATTTCAAAGCGGCCAGGCAAGAGCCGCGAGAAAGTGACCAAACAATTCTCAACCCCCAACCATCTACTTTAGGACTCAATATGAACGCACGAGAACGTTGGAAAAAATCAAAAAATGGCCGGGGGCCGGGGCCAACCCAAGCCGGGAGTCCAACCGAGTCCAACCATTCAATTCTGACCGCGCCGCGGCACCGGATGGCCTGGAGACCTCAGAGGACCGCATTGATTGGGCGGGCACTTTCCTGACGCCCGACTAGTTGAATTCTGACGGTGACAATGAGGCGATGGGCGGCAGTAGCAGACGGCTGCGGACTCGGTACAGGACATGGCACTGCTTACCAGCATACGGTTACAACCCAACATTCGAAAAAAAAGCGTACGGTTACAATCTAAGGGGGTGATCAACGATGATCAGATTGAGCCATGTGATGCCTGTCCTGCGGTGGAGTCCGCTAATCACTTGCTGCTCCGTTGCGGCTCAGCATCCTTTCTTTGGAGTAAACTGGCTCTGGATTCTTTGGCTACTTCGGCTCCTGGCATCCTAGATTTTGTTCAGCAAGCACAACATCAACTAAGCTTCACTCGCCATTGAAATGCTGCTTTCGCTGCTTGTGCTGTCACTTTATGGCACGCCAGAAACGACAGGGTCTTCAACCACAAGACTTGGTCTGCCAGTTACACCCGTTTATATGCTGCAAACCTGCTACGTCTCTGAGTAACAGAGTCTCTAACCAGCTTGCAAAGGATGACATTTAGTTATGGTGCCAGAAGCTCACTACTTAGTGCTCGGTGTTTTCCTTTGATGTTTTTGTCCTAACCCTCACCCTCCCCCCTTTCCTCTCCTTTTGCTTGTGCATTGCACTTGGGTGCAATGACCAAGTTGTGTTTTGTATTCGCTACTTCATCAGGCCTTGCCTGTTTTGAAATATAAGGTTGGCAGCCAGCCACCTTTCTTTTCAAAAAAAAAGATTGAGCCATGTGTTGCTCCCCGCGGGCCACTCGGACGCTAAACCTAGACGTCGGGCGCGGCCACACCTTCACCCCCATTCAGCCACCGTCGGCGAGCGACACCGGGCAAAGCCCGCATGATATGGGTTGCGCGGGGCAACTATAGTAACCAGAGGTGTGGGGCGTTGCGACGTGTGGTTGGGCATGGGCCGTCGCTGCCCCGCGTGCCATGGCAGCGAGTGGTGGCTTGCACGCGTCGCCAGCGTGAGGAGGCCACGGGCGTCGAAGGAGTAGTGTCGCAGCGGCCGGTCGGGCCAGATCTGGTTGTACGCCTGCTATTCGCCGGAGCTGTCCAATGTGTGCGGTACGAGAGGAGGCTCGGGCAGACCATCTCCTTCTGATTTTTCTTTTCAAATTATAAATTAAACTAACGGAAAGATGAGAATGGGAAAAAAAAACAGACGTGCGCCATCTAGCTAGACCAGGCCCATCTCACGCGAGATAAACGGGTGACTTTCTGGAGACACACGCACATCGAGGCGCGACTATGTCTCGCTTCAAGGGATACATAGCGTAGGCTCGCTCACACGCCTCCCTAAATGAGCTGGCCTAGCGTGTGGGAGGCCACTGCCTTGTTTTTTCCGGTTCCTTTTCACTATTTTTTGCTTTCTATTTTGCTTTCTGTTTATATTTCCAAATTTTATTAAGAAAAAATGTTAACTAAGCATTTGAATTTTCTTAAATGTATATACAGAAAAAAAAAGTTTCTCATGTATATGAAAAATGTAGACAAAAAAATGTACAATGTGTGTGAAAATTTTGTTCATGTATTTAAAAAATGTTAATCAAGCATTTCAAAAAATGTTAATCAAGTACTCCCTTTGTAAAGAAATATAAGAGTGTTTATGTCACTAAAGTAGTGACCTAAATGCACTTATATTTCTTTATGGAGGGAGTATTATAAAACACTAAATGTGTATAAAAAATGTTTGTCATGTACACAAAAATTATATAAAAAATACAACATGTACGAAAAAAATGTTTATCATATATTTGAAAAAGGTTAAACGGCTAAAAAATAAATGTTCCTAGTGTATAAAAAATGTAGAACATTCACAATTAATTGAACATAAAAATATAGTTTTTTAAAAATGTTGTTCATATATAACAAAATGTTAATCATATATTTCAAAAATGCTAAATAGTATAAAAATGTTGTCGGTATATACCAAAAATGTACAATGTGTATGAAAAACATAGCTGTCAAACACAAAATTTTGTAAAACTGTTAATCTTCTATTTCAAAAAACGTTTAACATGTATAATTTTTTTACTTATGTATACAAGTAATGTACAACGTGTATTAAAAAATTGAACATAAAAACATTTTTTTAATGTCGATCATGTATCAAAAAATATTAATCATATATTTAAAAATATTAAATATGTATTAAACATTGTTCCTGATATATGCCAAAACGTTACAATGTGTATGAAGAAAGTAGTTATCAAGTATAATTTTTAACATTAATCATGTATTTAAAAATGTTAAACATGTATAAAAATGTTCTAGTGTACACAAAAAATGTACAAATGCCTATGAAAAATGTAGACACGTGTTTAAGAAAATAAACAATGTGAATAAAATAAAAACCAAAGAAAAATAAAGAAAACAAATGAAAAACAGAAAGAAAATGAAGAAACTTAAAAACAAGGAAAAAACTCAGTAAAATCTGGGAAAAAACAAAGAAAAAACCCAATGAAAATCGTGAAAGATATGTAGGAAACCCATGAAAAAACAAAAACCGTAAAGAAACAAAGAAAAATGGAAACAAAACATAAAACAGAAAGAACCCAGAAGAAAACTTGGAATGGAAAAAAGAAACCCAATCTCATAGAATAAAG